GCCCTGAGGCTGTGATTGGTGTAGACAGCTGTTGTCCCCGCCTCTTTACACATCTTCGGCAGCATCTGTGCGAGTGAGTTTATTCCCAGCGGAGCTTTAGTGTACCAGATATTGTCTGTGTGAGCTGCTGTTATCCTGGGCTTCAGATAAAGGGCATTTGCATCTGGTGGAAGTTTGTTTAAAGACTTTTCCAGGGATGCAACGCAACTGCTGACCTAACTGACACTAACCGTCAGCTTTGATTTGATTGTTGACTGCAATCAGCTGTGAGGCAGAGTGATACATACACAGTGAAATAACCGTGATGTTGTACTCCAATATCATCACGGTTTTACTGTCTCTCGACCAATCAGATTGCAGGACCGGAACTAACTGTTGTGTAACGTGCAATATAACCTCCTTTCCTCTCACTGAGGGTCAGAGGTCGCTGGTCAACTGATGTAGTTTGGTTTCTGACGACTTCTCTGCTGACACTGTGTGCTGCGCCTCTAAAGCTGCTCTTTTGAGCTGTACTGTTCGCCATCACTGTAAACCATCTTCTTTATTAGGGGGCAGCTCAGTCCATAGGGACCTGGGTTGGGAACCAGAGGGTCGCCTGTTCAAGTCCCCGTCTGGACCAAATATGGAGCGTGGACTGGTGGCTGGCACTGCCGAGGCGCCCCTGAGCAAGGCACCAAACCCCCCAACCACCCAGGGTGCCTGAGCAAGGCAGCCCCCTCACTCTGACATCTCTCCACTTTGTGCATGTATAGGTCCTGTTTGTGCATGTGTGTGTCTTTCAGACCTGTGTGTAATTGACAAAAGAGTGAGATTAATAAAGTATCTAAATTAAAATTAAATCATTATTGACCACAAGTTCTCAGTCAGGTTGAGATCAGGTGAGCAGGCAGGCCAGTTCATGAGGCGATCGTCTCTAAAGCAGTCTTGGGAATAACGTGAGGCATGTGGCAGTGCATTGTCATGCATGTACACTTGCGTCTTCTTCACTTTAGCTGATTGTCTTTTCCACCGTGGAAGGAAATGTGTCTTGAGGAAAGTGAAGTAGCCCCGAGAATTCACTTTAACACCATCCTGACCCCGGAAAGGACCAACAAGTTCATCATCAACAGTGGCAGCCCTGAACGTAACACCACCACCCAGTCGGGTTGGAGCAGCATGGCCACTTGAAATCCAACCAGAGGCCCATCTGGTCCGTCTAGAGTTGCACTACAGTTGCCACTCGTCTTAGCGTCATACATGGAGTAGACCTGGGTACATCATCACTGAGCCCCACAGCTTCAGCGATGGCCTTACTGGTAGCTGAGGGTCTTTTAACAACCTCTCGTTTGATTCTCGACAGTTCTCGGCTTGATAATGTTCGACAAGCTTTTCCTACTCTGGGTTTCTCCCATGCTGACTATTTCGGATGTATCTTTTTATAGTTCTGTGGTCACGCTGCAATTTCGTGGCTCTATCATGTGTAGATTGGGCCTCGCTCAGACAGTTTGAGTCTTTCTTCTTTGGTCAGGTCACTTTTCTTGCCAGGGTCAAAGTTGAATAGCACGTGCAGGGTAATGTGGCACACTGATACACGTGGTCTGTGATAAAGGATATTAGGAAGCCTTTAGATTCAAACAACAAGGGTTTTGTTAAAGCACGAGGCTTTAAAGACGTCATACTAAAAGACTTGTTTTCTGAACAGCAGCCTTCCAGATTTTCAAGAAAAGAATACTAGTACTCATGCTCGTGACTCCAGACCACTCCTCTCCAGAGTTCCGTTCAGCACATGTGATCATCTCTCCAATGATAAGATGGACACAAGTTTTACATTCCACATGGTAACGGCAGGGCTCTCCATCCAAACACAACTATCCTAAGGATGTGTCTGTACCTGCGGTCATAGCTGGAATCTGATCCCAGTACGGAATGATGTGGATTTGGAGGGAAATCAATCCCAAATACTTTCTTCATCTCTCTTTGGACTGACAGCCAGAAACAGACAATCTGAGGGCACGACCACATGAATCGATTCTTTTTTACATTTCCAACATAATGATGAGCGCGACAGATCATATCTACATCACACAGCTGGGGTGACATACAGTCTGTGAGTAATCTGATACTTGGTCTCATAGAATTTGTTGCAACATGTCATTTTTCTCCACATCTCCTCATCATCCAAACGGGACCCAAAACCTTCTCTCCAGCATCTTTTACTGGTGATATGAACAAACATTTTATCATAAACTTAACTAAGAATTTTCTTCTTTAAAGAAGAACCTTTCAGTCACATCTTTTCAAGTTGAAGAGGAGAAGGAGGAGAGGAGAGCAGGGAGCTGAATTATCCACAGAGGTCTCCTCCTCTCCGAAACAAAGAGAACATGGCGGACGCATAAAACGAGGTCTGAAAGAGGCGTATGCCATTTCACACACAAGAGCTGTGATGTATAAAAATAGACTTGACGGAGCAACTTTGACCCAGGCTTACCAACATTTTGGAGACGGGAAATTGGTGACACAGACGATGAGGTGGAGCCTGATTGTAGAAACTGTTGAATATTTTTTGGCGCACGCCATTTTTTATCTGTACGTACATTTTTATTGTGGATCCTGTGCACTGTAGGGCTGTCAAAAGCACCATGAAATTGAGTTAGAATATTTTTGAATTAATTTAGTAGAGTTCGAATAATATTTGAATTTATTATTATTTTTTATTATTATTATTATTATTATTGTTATTATTTTTTTATTATTTAAAAAAAAAAAACAACCCACAAATATAAGTACGATGCTTATTGCTGGCGCAATATGAACGTGACACTCGGATGAAAACACCCGTTCTGACTGCAATGTTTGGATACTTCAGTGCCCCTGTAGTTTTCCACCACAAGAGTGGATCCTGGTCGGCTCGTAGTGGTGTCTCATTCTGGTAACGTTTCATCTCTTCTTCAAAAAGAGTAGGCAGGGAGGCAGCAGGTGCAACACTCTCCCTGTATGTCTCCCCGAACAGGTCACACATCGCGGACAGCGCAGTGGGTGCTGTTGGCGCAGCGGGCTCCTCCGTCAGTGCCTCTTCCTCCGTCTCTCGCCGAAATTCCACTGGATGCGGGTCCATTGCGGAACGGCTGTGCTAGTTATCCGCTGCGTGCACAGACGCAACCAACACGCATCTGGTGGAATTTGGGGGTCTGCGTCCTCTCTGGCCCGGCTTGTGCGCGAGCCATTTCTGCCCGAACAGGATTCGCCGTGATATACAACATTATTAATAGTATTAATGAATTATTAATGATTTTCGAATTATCAAATTTAGATTTGAACTTATAAAAAATATATATATTCGAATATATGGGGCGGCACGGTGGTGTGGTGGTTAGCACTCTCGCCTCACAGCAAGAGGGTTGCTGGGATAGGCTCCACCCCCCCGCGACCCTCAAGAGGATGAAGCAGTTAGAAGAAGATGAATGAATATATTTTGAACTTCGAATTTTTTTTGACAGCCCTAGTGCACTGTTTTATAAATGAGACCTCAGCTGATTAAAACCAGGAACAACACTGAATGAAGCTGCTTCATGTTACAAATCAGAATAACATGTCGTCATGGAGCAGCTGCTGACTACGGTGGCTGACTCATAAAAGTGAAAACATGAATGTCTCTCTCTAGAGTCACTGTTTGGTTTGTCCGTTCTGGGCTACTGTAGAAACATGGCGGTGCAGCATGGTGATCTCTGTAGACGAGGACCTGCTCCCTGTGTAGATATGAACGTCTCATTCTGAGGGAACCAGAACACAATGATTCTTATGTCCAGCTGATTAAACACTAAAGAAAACAGTAGAGTGATAAAATGGTCTCCAAATGAGATCACAGTAAAACGTATGTCGATGATGATGATGATGAACTGCAGTCATTTTTACTCGATATGGACAGATCTAGATTGATCCAAACAGCGTGTCATGCAGCGGAAGGTAACAGACAGCTGTCAGTCAGTCTGCAGTGTTGCGGTCATTAGCGTCATTGTACACGCCCATTTTTCACTGCAAAGTTCGTGCTGAGGTGAGGAGGAAGTGAAAGTAGCGTGGACATGAAGAAAAGAGGTGAAAATGAGAGGAAGTGAGGAGCGAAGTGGCGGTGACACCGAAGAAGAGCTCGAGTTATCCTCAAAAACAGACGAAACTGTAGATAAAAAAGGTCACGTCAATAATTTGGAAGTGGTTTGGCGTCTTGAAAGGTGACGACACACGGACAAAGACGGGCTGTAAAATATGTCGTCGGTTGGGGCCAACCAGGACGGGAAACACAACAAACCTTTTCCATCACCTAAAAGGTGGCGTCCCAGCGACGACACTGAGAGCATGAAAATCTGCCCAAACTGCAGTAAGTCCACCAACAAGTGTTCAACGGCCGAGCACTTCTGCTGCTGTGGGCGGGGCCAGCGGGGCGGCACCAAAACACCAATCAGTTGTGTCCTGTTTTGCCGCCGTAACCCCGTATGAGAGGGGATGGCAAAGGAGCAGAAACATAACAGACGCAGTGTCGTACTTTCTAGCCAGAGACATGACGCCCATGAGCACCGTGGAGAAAGACGGGTTCAAGAAACTAATCAAAGTGTGAGGCTGCAGGTACGAGCTCCCAGGCAGGAAATGTGTTTCTCACACTGCTCTGTCACAGCTTTACGATGAGCGCTGCAGGAAGCTGGAAAATCATTTGGTCTCTTCAGATGTCAGACGTCATCAAGACACTTTTCAAACTTGCAGCACCTTCAGATTAAATACAGTGATAAATATTGATATCGATCAATAAAGAGAAAATTATCATGATAGTATTTTTTGCCATATCGCCCAGTCCTAGAAAACACACAGATTATATTATATTCCACTTCTGCCAATCAATCGCTCTGAATCCGACACACTGGAGCTTTAACAGATCACGACAGCATCAAAATATTGATCACTGTTACCATCTTATTAGATTCACAGGTCACAGCAGGAATGACGTGATCGTCCAGTAAAGAACATTAGAGCCAATCAGGATGAAGCCTGATGACAGGATCACTTTAATCCTCATATGTAACTCACATATTAATGTTTTTGTTATTTAATTCTGTTTAGTTTTTGGTGTAGTTAGGAGGGTTAACATCCCTCGTGTGTTTAACCCTTTGATACCTGGAGTGACATCACTTTCACAGGTATTTAAAGCTTTGAACCCTGTTGAGCTCATTTCTTTCACAAACATGGGAAAAAGGGCAACGAGCAACTTGGTAAGAAACGTCCCACAAAGTGCAAAAAAAACCAAAAAAACATTTATAATATTATTTTAAAAAGCTAGAGAAAAACTATATTTATAATTATTATTATTATTACATTTTAAAATGATGTTGCAGAATGATTAAAATGTTGAGGCGCTCTCTCCAGGTCGTCTTCCTGATTGTTTTTAACTTTCTTTTTTTAAATTTTTTTTTAACTTATTTTCTCTTTTTACTCATTATTCGGGTCATTTCTTCTGTCGCAGCTCGTTGCCTTCCTCCCATGTTTTTAACAGAAATCAAGGGTTAACGTCACCACAGCTGCGCTTACTTTGAGCCATCAGTCAGATTTATCCATCATGTCGTAGGAGTGGCTCAGTAATAACATGAACATCATTTAAAAACCATCAGTGAGTCTTTTAACTCACCTGTGTGATGTGTTCGCTGTGGCCTCCTGCAGACTGATGGCGACAGCAGACACAAAGCCGGGAGGAGCCGAGGAGTCCAGCTTGCAGTCTGAGGAGTCGGCCAGGAGGTCAGAGGAGTGGAGGCTGGGGTCCGGGGAGTCCAGGGTGAGCTCCTGGGAGTCGGAGCTGACCTCCATCCAGCACTCCCTGAAGTTTGTGTCGACACTGAAGGAGGAGTTTGTTTGTCCCATCTGCAGAGGAGTCGTGCTCAACCCCCAGCAGAACTCCTGTGGACACATCTACTGCTTCCTCTGCCTCCAGCGCCTGCTGTACGAGCCGTAAACACAGTCCATCATATTCACCCCTTTATTTCAGCTGCAGTCTGCTCCACATGAGGAGATGAGAGCAGGTGCAGAGATGGTACACAGTAGGATGGTTTGTGGGCGTGTCGTGAACGCACAGCGCTCCTGGTACTCGTGTTTGGGGTCTGTGAGCTGCGTCTGTGGTGTCTTGGTAACAACACCAGTCTGCTGTGTGTTTCAGGGAGAGCTCATCGCCATCCAGTCCAGTCTGTCCAGTGGACGGAGCCGTGATCACACCAGCAGAGGTCAGAACCAAAGCTGCAGCTGCACACTCACAAAGTATTTTAGTCACACTCAGGCCTGCAATGGGAAATATAATTTTTGTTTTGTGGGCCCCTCGTCCTCACCATATTTCCACATGTAGTTTTTGAGGGGCTGAAAAAATGTCTCCCAATGAATGATTAGAGAAAAGTAAAATATCACTCCATCACACGATCAGTTCATGACTGATAAAATACTGTTTAATCAAATATCGGTCAAAGTGTGTGCAGGACTGCAACAGTGTATATTTGCTCTTAACTGTCAGTTTTCCAGTCACACACAATTTATGTAATTGCAATACTGTTAAGACCGCAGTATGTGGAAATAATTTTGAAAAAAGCAATGTTCTTTTTCCCCTCGCCATAATTCAGAGCATTATTTAACCCCCCGAAAAGATAGCACAACATGGTTGGTACCAATGGACGCCTTAGGTCCTCTAGTTTAATTTGATACGTGTCTTCACTGTGTCAAGTATCAGTTCAAGCAGGACCCAAATGCAGACCAACAGGCACGTTGAATTTTCAACAAAAGGCGAGCTTTAATGCACCTGATGGAAAACATCTGGCACAGACAGGTAAATAAAATTCAAAATAAAAGCTGAACCGAAACTAAACTGAAAACTAACCAGGGAAATACGATGAACTCAAATCCAATAACAAACAGAACACCAGGCAGGAAACGGAGTGGATAATGACACCAGGAACACGGGAATAAACACAGGAACAGACGAGGAACAAAGGGAAACACTCAGCTATATGTACACAGAAAACTAATCACGAGAATGAGACACAGCTGGAGGAGGAGGACATGGGCAGAAGGAGGGAAATGGGGATTGGCTGACAACAAGGGTGTGGAGGGGAACACTAGGGTGAAGCAGACAAGACTAATACAGAACAGGTGTGAAGGGAAGACTCTGGGAACAGGGAAGGACTTACGAGACAGGTGTGACAGAAAACAGGCGGGAAAACACACAAAGACAGGAAGTAAAACCAGACAGGACACATGAGGAGAGAATCTACAAAATAAAACAGGAAGCAGATTAAACATGACTGAATAACATGAAACAAGGAACACAAACAGAAACCTCCAAAACAAAGTCCAAAGGATCACGACACCCTGTAGCTTTAAAACTGAGCTGATACAGCAGGTTTTATGTGAGCTGAGTCCCGCACTGTTGCCCCTCGTTGGCTTTTTTTTTGCCAATTCAGCATGTTGAATTGACGACAGCGACGGTGAGGGTGACAGCAGAGTCCACTGGTGAATGACATCACTCTGATTGTCAGTTCAACATGAGAAGAGAAACAGAAGTGAGGAAAGTAAACAAAGAGCCAAAGTCCAGAAAGAGTGAGTCTCAAATCGCATACTTCCGTTAGTACACTACGTACTTCTTGCGTGATGCACTAATTTCAACAGGGTAGTCTCAAGTCATGAACTGCCATTTTACACTTACTGGAAGTGACGACGGCTTGTTTTTGTAACTTCTTCTTTGTCTTCTTTCTAAACGGCAAATTGCAAACGGACAGTGGACCATTGTCACCGACCTTTGACCACTATCACATAAACCAAACTTACGCCACAGGATCATTGCTTGTTAAAATGTGCTGATGAAGCTCGGAGCAAGTCAGCCAGCTTGCGAATGCTAATGTTAGCTGGCAGGCTAACATTAGCACTCCCATTATTGTTGGCGGTACCAAATCACTACAGACCCAACAAACATTACTGACGGCTTCTATTCGACAACAGTTTTGGTACTTAGTGCAAGAAACACATAACTAACAGGCTCCTCGTTGTCTCACGCCACCATGTCAAAAACTGAGAAGTTTGCTACGTCACAAAGATGGCGACCGTTGAGGCTGAGACGTGTCCGTCATTCAACACTCACCTTGTGGGCTGTTTTGAATGCGTCTGTGTGCACACTGCATTTTCCCATATTACGCAGTGTGAGCGCACTCAAAATATGACGTGTGTAGTAGAGAAGTGTGAGATCTGAGACACACTGCAAAACCAACTTGTTCCATGAGGTCAGATGATTTTTCTCTTTCACAGAAACGTTTCCTGCTGGTTTGTGTTATTGTTCACTGGCGCACAGTAAATATGCTCTGATCTCGGATTGTGTGGTTTATGTGCTAACTGGCTAATTAGGGAAACTTCCTGTTTCTGTCTTTGAATCACGACTACAGACGATCACGGTCTGCTGCTGTGGAGAGTTATTATCTCTCACGAAGGTGCAGAACGTACGAGCTGGTTGACCGCCTGCCGTAGTCTTTGTGTGTTTGTGTGTAACTTTTTGGCCGAGACATACAACGTCAGGCGACGCAGCGGGGGGCCTTCGTCGCCGCTAGTTCTCTAAAGTCCATGTGGTGTGTCTGGGCCTTTAGAAACATGCTGGTTTTTTTTCTTACAAGAAGAGTGTTGTGATTGGCTTGTACAAAACCTAACCATGACCACTTCACACAAACCCTAACCGCCTCCAACCTTGATACGTCATCATGATGAGCACCAGCCACTCAAAGCACAGTAGGGCGGGACCAAGCAAAACACTCTTTGGGAAAAAACCCTGCATGTTAGAAACATCTTGTTGTGTGTTGAATACAAAGACGTGATGACGTCTGATCATCATTCCTCCTGACGCTTAACTGTGGAAAAATGTTTCCTACCCGCAGGTTTTCCAGGACAACTGCTGCAAACGGGAAATCTCCAGTCTAGAAGTGTACTGCACCAACTCCCCAGCATGCACCTCTGTCGTCACATTACGCCACCTACAGGTAGACGAGAAGATTTGTTTGCTGTCACCACTAGTGCTGCAGCGTTTAAATACCAAATAACCATAAACAGCTCACTGTTTAATACTTTGTTGTAAACATATGAATGAACCCTTATTTAAACCTATGGGGAATGTGTGTAGGCTAATGCAGACAAACAGGCTGTGCTGCCGTCACTGTAAGGTACAAATATGTGTTGCAGCTTCAGACAGTTTTCGATTCTTAGTCTTAACAGAGCAGTAATTGGTGCAATAATTCAACTCCAGCAACACTCTGTGCAGTTATCGTGCAAGACTCTGATTCTGGCCGTCTGCTGCGAGGCACCTTGAACAGGAGGAGGATAAACTGTGCTCTGTAATGTCCTAATAACCTGATCAACACACGTTAAATCACCTCAGTGACGGTTCCTTTTATCTCCCATCACTCCGTCCTCTGCAGGAGCACCGCAGGTCGTGTCAGTACGAGCAGCTGCAGTGCTGCAATCCAGGCTGCAGGGCGGCGCTACAGAGGAGATACCTGCAGGAACACCTGACCAACACCTGTCCTCACCGCATGGAGCCCTGTCCACACTGCCGGCACCCGCAGAGACTCAGCCTCCTCCAGGTAAAGTCGTGTCCAGGTGGGTCTCACAGTCTGTTGCAGTCGTCCAGAACGGTCCTGAAACACGTGACGTGCCAGTCATGTGTCGGTGCAGCCGCCTCAGGACAGGCTGCCTGTTGGGTGCAAGAAACAAATTTGGATTCTGACACTTCATCGTGCCGATTTGTACCTGACACCAGAAATGAAACTGAAAAACACAGGACATGTAACCACCAGGTGTGATCACATGACCTTCAGCTGGTGATGCTGATGCTGATGTGTTTGTGCTGACTCGGTGTTCTGTAGGATCATGTGCAGAGCTCCTGTCCAGAGGTGGAGGTGGACTGTCCCAACAGCTGCTCCCTGAAGGTCCCCAGACACAAGGTGAGCTCAGTCACATCACATCACATCACACACCTGCAGATAGAGTCATGAGACGAGTGAATGTGAGCCGGCTCTGCTCCACGCACGTCTGCCAGACTCAGCTCCGTCTCATTCTGGTGTAAACAGGCCTTCTGGATTTAGAAATCTCTTATAAGTCATGAACTCAGCTGCTGGCTTGATGTGAATCCACGTCATAGAAAACAGCTGGCTAAAGCTAACAGGGAGCTAACCAGCTGGCTGAAACACAACACACGCGTGTGCATGTTCGCGTGCATGAGACAAACAATCTGCTCTACTGCAGGTCACACGCTCCACAGGGTCCCTTGAATATGATGTATAATCAGCACGTTTGCCTCGTTACCGTTAGCAACTGTGATTTACATAGATACGGATGCATAAAGTCTCAACTGACCAATCAGAGTCGAGTATTCTGTCCAATTAAATGAACACATTAACATCTGTGTGAACGTCTGTGGTGTCTTCAGCTGACAGAACACAGAGAGTCGTGTCCTGAGCTCCTCGTCGACTGCTCCTACAAGAAGTTCGGCTGCTCTGTGCAGGTGAGTTCATGTCATGAATCCACGGTGTGACACAGACAGGTCACATGACCACAGCCGCAGGTGAGTTCATGTCATGAAGCCACGGTGTGACACAGACAGGTCACATGACCACAGCCACTGTGTGCTGCAGGACAAGAGAAGGAGAGTGAAGCTGCATGAGGACGCTGCTGTCAATCATCACATGCTGCTGGTCCTGCGGAGCAACACTCACCTGGAGCAACAGGTGAGTCAAACAAACGTACCTGAAAACAGCTGCAGACAGCAAGCGAAGCCTTTGATTAGCACATTACATCACTGCTAGCTCATCTTTTTAGCACTCGTCTGTGACACTAAAAACATCTGCACACTGAGCTTTTCATATTTTTAAGCTGTGCTGAAGCGTAACGCTGCCACAATGATGCTCGACATGTTCTGTCATTATTACGACATAATAAACATGAGATGCACTGAATGTGAAACTCTCAGCCAATAGTTGACACCAATGTTTTGTTGTTGTTTATTTTGTTTTTGTTGTTATTTATTCCCCCTTTAGTGCCAGGGAAACAAAGAACACAACAACCTTTAATGAAACCTTTTGTCTCATGAAAAGTATTTAAAATTAAAATGGCTTCATTTTTTTAAAAACCATAATTCTCTCTCCAATATTTATTTATTTATATCACTTTCAACAGCTGATTTATTCAAGTTTCTCACCAAAAACTACATTTTACAAGATGACATTGAACATATCATGAGACTGTTACAATTGACCTTCACCCAGTACTCATTTTTACCAAATACAGATTGAACGCATCATAATGTAACTTAAGGTAACCTCCCTCAGCGGTTAGATTCAGCCACCAGCTGCTAACAGATAACGCTAACTAGCTGCTAACACAAAACAGCTAGCAGTTAATATTAATTAGCTGCTAACACTTGACAGCTACCAGTTAACGTTAACTAGCTGCTAACACAAAACAGCTAGCAGTTAACATTAATTAGTTGCTAACGCCTAACAGCTAGTAGTTAACGTTAAATAGCTGCTAACTCCTAACAGCTAGTAGTTAACGTTAAATAGCTGCTAACACCTAACAGCTAATATTAACTAGCTGCTAACACCAAACAGCTAATAACTAATGTTAACTAGCTGCTAACACCTGATAACTAATGTTAACTACTTGCTAACATCTAAAAGCTAATGTTAACTAGTTGCTAACAGCTAACATTAACTAGCTTGCCTCCTGCTGATGTCATCACAGATTTGTTGTTCACAGTGTGACATCATCAGATAAACAACAGGCTGCGTCCTCTGATTCAGATTCAGATTCAGATTCAGAATACTTTATTAGTCCCAAAAGGGCAATTCATTTCCACATTTCCGCATGATGCTCATTTTTGTTTCTGTTTTATTGGATTTTATTACTTATATTTACAAATGTCCATTTCATACCCTGATTCTTACTAATTATAATTCTGTATTCTTTACATCAGAGCGACTGAATCACAGTTTCCCCTCTGGGATGAATAAAGTATTTCTGATTCTGATTAAATCAGCTGCTCCGTTTGTTTCTGAGAGGAAGAGACTGAGGATCATTTAAAAACCTCCTGATCAATGAACACTGAACGGATTCTAACCAGGAGAAGTTTCAGCTGGACGTTAAAATATGAACTTAAGAAATGATTGTAATTCCATGAAACAAACATAAGTGTGTTTACCTCAGACTGTGCTCTCCTCCGTCAGGTGGAGCTCCTCCAGGAGGAGGCGCTGCTGAGGCAGCAGGAGGTCCAGACAGACGGTTTACTGCTCGCCGGTCTGCAGAAGAAAATCAGACCTCTGCTGCAACACAACAGCAGCCATGATCACCTGCTCTCTGCAGCTCAGGTTAATACACACTTTGATTCTTACTCGTCATCCTGCAGTCACATGTTCATTCATTCCTTCATCTGTACCTTCATGTGTTCATCATCCAGCTTCATGTATGAGTTACAGCATGAAACAGATGACACTCGTCATTTATTTCAAAAAGACTGTTAGAGAGACGTCCTGGTCACCACAGCAGCCGTGAGTCCAAAACTGTCAAGTGAATTTAAAGCATTTAAAATGTCTCAAATAGAAACGTGAACCTGACGTGTTTCCATCTCCTGGTTTGGAGCGAACAAACTTCACAAAGTGTAGATGTTGGCGATGTTGGCTTCACTTGACACATGACAGTAGTCCTTCAGGAAAGTGAAGAAGAAGAGGTTACGAACCGCAAACAAAACAAGTCGCCATCTACGAGACAAATGGACAAGTTTTAACTGATCTGTAATGTCAGTCAGTCACTTTCACGACATGTGTGATGTATCGGGTTATTCTTGTCCTATTATTATTATTATTATTATTATTATTTTTATTATCTCAGTCACTGTGTGTGGTCATGTTCCAGCTGAACTGTTACTGTAGTGACGTACAAACTGTCACCAGGTGGGCGGAGCTACATTTGAAGTACCACATGTAAACTGTGCAGGTCACTGAATCCTCCACAGGAAGTTCCTGCAAATGTTTCACAATAAAAGCCTTTTTAGAAAATGAAGGGATTCTCTCAGCTGAAATGATGAGGGGCTTTTAATTTGAAACAGAAACAGGAAGTGTTGAGTTTGATTCCTTTATATCCTCCATTATGAAGAAAGAACATTCTTTGCTAGCTTGATGCTAATGGCAGTACTCAGCGGGTTGATAAAGTGCCTCTGCTGTTTCCTCTTTACTCTGTGTGCTAACGTCCCCACAGGAAATATCTAAAAGGCTGCTGTTGTCGCACAGTTTCCACGGCAACAGATCGCTCTGTGTTCCCATTTGGTCAAGGTGACGGCTGTGACGGGAGAAGAAAATCAAACATGCTAGAATTTCGGTGGGGACGTCGTGTGGCGTCTCAGATGTGGCGTCGGTTGTCGTCTACTATGACACACTACATGAGATGGAACGATGGATTATGGTGGACGACACTCGTTGTCATTCACAATCTGAGCCAACACCATATGTCGCTGCGTGGGGCTGTAACCATATCGTGTAGTGTGAACCTGGCATAATGTACTCCAAGACACCAACAGCGGAAACAGCTGATCAGTCATGTGACTTAAATGTTTGTAACATCAGAACTGATTCAGCAGAGCTGTTTCATCTCCTGTTTTTCATATCAATTCTTTTTCTTACAAAGTAAAGAAAACACTCAGGTCAGTGTAAACTTTTTTGCGTTGAGGAAGTTTGATTCAACTTTTTACACGTAAAACTTCAAAATGAGCGTTAAATTCAGTTCCTGGAGAAAACGGCTGGCTCGGATCAACACGACATTGCGCGGGAAACAAACCTAAACTGAGAGGTGTGTAAAGCTGTCAGACACCTGAGCATGTTGAATTTGCAATGAAACGTTTTCACATACCGACTGTCACGTGTGGATTTACAGGGAAAACCTCGCTGAGTGTTTCATCACATCCTGAACATCACAGAGTGAATCTGAATTTCCTGGAGGATCCTGCAGTCATAGCAGCGTCACTAAACCATGTTACCTGTCTGTCTGTCTGTCTGTCTGTGTTCAGAGGACGCTGAGCAGGCAGGAGGACATCCTGTCCACCGTCCAGCTGGACGTCCAGCAGGCGTCTCTGGGACTCGGTCCTGGTCTGGAGGAGCTGGAGCAGCTGAGAAAGTCTCTGGACGCTGTGATCCTGGAAGTGTCTGCAGCCGAGGCCCTCAGAGAACACCTGGGTAACAGAAGCACAGAATAATCTGCCGCCATGAAGCCGCTCGCGTCACTCACTGTTTGTTTTTAGGGCCATGCCCAAAATCTGGAAGCTTTAAAGTTTCACTGGAAGACTCAGTCAACAGTCAAACACTGCGCAGCTTTTTGTCATTTTGTTTTATTAATTTAATGTTTTGTCTGAAGAATGAGTGAAAGCTGCTGCTCAGCAACGGCTGAGAGAGATGGCGAGAGTGTAGCTCAGCATCTTTTCACTTATAGAGATTACAGGAGGTCAACAGCACCCTGGCTCCCTCAGACATCTGACCACAAACACACTGACTTGAAGACGAGGGAACAGGAAGTGCTAACAAGCTAATTCATTTATGGGTTTATGGGAGAAGTGAGGAAAGCAAATACAAACTAAAGTCGAGAGCACGTGAGTCAAAAAAAATCTTTATCAGGTCAAATTAATTCTTTATCTCTTGAGCTCGTTAGCAGAAACAGTTTGAAATTGTTTGTGTTATTGTTTGTTAGCGCACAGTAAATATCAATTCAGTCAGTAAATGTTATTTATAAAGCCCAATATCACAAATGACAGTTTGACTCAGAGGCTTTTCAGCAGACGACATCCCTCTGTCCTTTGGACCCTCACAGCTGATCAGGAAAACAATGGTAGAAAGCTCAGGAAGAGCAACTGAGGAGGGATCCCTCTTCCAGGACGGACAGACGTGCAATAGATGTCGTACTGAACAGATCAGCATGATAAATATACAGTGATCCAGCCTCGAGGTAACAAAAGCGTGGACTCATTTTTTGTGCATCTTTTTGGGACAGTAAAGGCTGAATATTGTTACTTAGATGAAAAACCGCAGTGCGTGAGGTTTTCTTACGGTAGTGCTCGAGGCCAGAGCAATGCCATCTAGAGAAACTATGTCATCAGATAAAGAGTCTCTGAGTTGTTTGTTTCCCTTTTTGAATGACGGTTACAGACGACTGCCACAACGCTGTTGGCTGTAGTCTTTGTGGTGTGTTCAAGAGCAACTTCTGCAGAGACACAGGCGACGTGAGGCGACACAACACTCAGCTGTTGTCAGCCACTTCTTTGATGACTGTATGTCTGGACTTTAACTCAGTGAATTAAGGTTTGTTTTATGGAATGTTAGAAATACAAATTAAGATGGTTTTGGTCAAGTTTGAATGAGGCGTGCAGATATACTGCCAATCGCTGTCCATTCTGTTTAAACCCTGAGGATCAGGACACACTGATGTTATTAGTCCCATACTCTCTGTACAATTCCAGCGGTGGCTGCATGGGATCGTCTCTGACTCATGTCATCCAAACGTTTCTAATAACTCTGGAGCACTGTAAAATCCAAAAGTCTAAATTCACTGAAAAAGCAGATGTAATCATTTCCAAAATTCACAACATGTTTTTATCTGACAAAATATTCTGCTTCAGTCCATATCTGGATTACAACATTTTCACTGCAGTCAAACAACAGTTAGCTCTCCTGCACGCGCTGGTATTAACAGGCCGGTCGAACAGCAACATAAATTACATTCATTCATTAAATAAGGTTGATTTAATCTAAAATATGTCACTCTTTTAATCCAATGAATGAATGCGTCATACGGATTACTGTTAATTTATCATGTTGATCTGAATCACTTAAATCAAACTGAGGATTTCGTTCAAGGATTTAAAAAACAATTTCAGGGTGATGACATTAAAAATGAAGACAAGACATTCGAGGCTTCATTTGAAAACCTGGACAGAAGCTTTGGTTGTAAATTTAAAAGAAGACCATTTCAGTTAAAGGAGCAGTTTGGTGAAAACGGCAGATTGTATAAATTCGGTGTCTCCTATAGTAAGAAGAAGTGGCGTACAGTCCAGGATGCTTCCAGGTTTAGATCTTTGTATTTCACTGAATGCTGTCGTTGTTTTTTTCTCGCAGGAACTTTGGAAGAGAATCTAAAGCATCACTCGGGTCTGCTGGATCTCCACGCCGCTCAGCTCAGTCGCAACAAGCAGCACCTGCAGGAGCTCGAGGCGACGTCCTACGATGGCAAACTGATCTGGAAGGTCGAGGACGTCAGGAAGAGGAGAGAAGCCGAGGTCAAAGGTCAGCCACCCTGCCTGAGCAGCGTGCCGTTCCACACAGGGCGCTGTGGCTACAAAATGGCCGCCAAGGTCTATCTGAACGGAGACGGGGAGGGAAGAGGGACTCACCTGTCCCTTTATGTCGTCCTGATGCCGGGAGACTTTGATGCTCTGCTGCCGTGGCCTTTCAGACAGACCGTGTCTCTGTCTGTTCTGGATCAAAGCGGCGCCGCTAACCACCGGAGTCTCAGCTTCAGACCCGACCCAGCGTCCAAAAGCTTCCAGCGACCTGCCGCAGGCTCCATCAGCAACGTGGCTGTTGGATTTTCTTGCTTCATTCCCCTCGACAAGCTGGAAACTCCTCAGAACGCTTCGTACGTCAAAGAGGACACGTTGTTTGTCAAAGTGAAGGTGGACATGGCAGGTTTAGAGCAGCTGTAGGCCTCTGGCCTCTACATCAGTGGTTCCCAACTGGTCAAATCACAGCATCCAGATTTCTCCTCAATCATCAGTTCAAGGTCCACACAGTTGAACACATTCAGCGTCATACTTTCATTTGGCCATGTCATCGAGCTAGTTTTCTGTCTCTGTCCAGTAGCTGTCCGTCAGTCATTCACTCTACAGCAGGGAACGGCGCTTCTGGGCGATACGGACAAAAATTCATATCTCAGTATTTTCAGGCTGAACGTCAATACACAATATATATCTTGGTGCCTTCTACGTAATGGGGCTGCATGTTCAGCTGCAAGTCGCAAATTGATCCTCGGCTCATGTCCCCTGTTATTTTTGCTGCGGCAGGTGGAGAAGTTTACCTGTTGGAGGTGAGCTGTTTGTCTGCAGCTCTTCATCATCTCTCTGTGGCTGTTTCTGATTTTACTCTTCCTCCCTGCCGTATTATTAGACTTGTCTTTATTGAAGGATGCTGCTGAGATGATCCCTGGTGAGGGAGAGAAGCGGGGCAGGACGCAGGCTGAGACACTGAGATTATAAAGTCATATATTTGTGTGACACCTCATGGCTTCACTGGATCAACATCACACCACAGAGCCAGCGGTAACGATAATACGATTAATAATCCTTTCTTTCTCTTATTAGGGTTAGGTATGGACACACAGTATATTACCTACAGTAGATGTCAGTCGACACGCCCCCAGTTTGGAGAAGCAGGCTGAAGTCTGACATGGAAGCTAAACAATGTGCTGTTGTGGGCGGGGTCGGCAACAAAACGGATTTTAGTCACCAAAGAAAAGTAACACATAAAAAATGCCTGTCAGTTTACATGTGCATTATATTGAGAGTATTTTCAGCACTTCACGTTCCCCACATTCAGCCTGTTTTGACAGGTGACCCGTTAAAAACTTAGTTCCCACCTCTGCTCTCATCAAAGCCAGACTCCACTGAGAAAAACAGTGATTTACCATCACTGAGCGCAGGAGCTGCAGGTCTGCCGCCGCCTCCATCAGTTAGATTGTGTTACTCTGTGACTTTGGTGGATCTAAAGCCCCGTAACAACCAAACACGTTACCCCTCAGACATGGTACCTAGACCCTCGGTCCGTTCAGCCTTTCCAATTTGGACCAGATTATGTCATGCGTTTTGTTGCCGACCCCGCCCACAGCAGGACATTTCTTATGTTCCATGTCAGATTCCCGCCTGCTGCTCCAAACTGGAGATGTGCCGACTGACATGTTCAATGGGAAACACACTGTCTATGGATAAGTACCCCAAACAGCTTCACCTTAAAAAATCTTAAAAAACAAGATTGTTTTATTGGTTTATAGGACACCACAAGGCCGTGCACCAGACGACCTCTCAGAAACGCTTCTACTCTTTTAGCTGAACTACAAAAACATCTGGCGACGCTGCTTTCAGCCACGACGCTCCGATCTGCTCCAGCTGCCTCTGCACCAGCTGAAAATATTAGACAAGATTTTTAAACTGAGAAAAAAAATCATCTATTTATTCAGACTTATGTTTTATAATTTATCATACTTAATGCCATCATTATGATTTTACTTTTCAATTTTTATCAGAATGTTAATGTTGATCCCTGTGATTTATTTTATTTTATTCAATTAACACTCTTCAGTCAGTCGCCTGTTGTGCATTGATTTGTTTGGAAGGTACTGTATAAATAAAGTTTGATTGACTGATGACACAGTGACTCTGGGATAAACATTTCCTGATTAGGGTCCGGGCAGCTAAGCTGCCAGGACACTATTGTATTCCTAGGAATTCTTTCTTTCTTTCTTCCGAGGAAGTCATACTTCCCAAGTGCGAAAACTCACCAAACTTAACAGAAATGTCCGGCCCCATGCCAGATTTACTTAATTCCAAGGACATGTCAATATTCCTCCTGGAGGGGGGGGGGGGGCACAATAAGTGTTTAAATTTAAAAATCTTTAAAAATACCTACAAAATCAACAGTACATGCTACAGTTTTGAAACTTTCACCAAACTCTAGCCCCAATAGTGCTGAAACTTTAGTCCACTTTAAACTCATTACAAATTATGAAGTCCATCACTCAGTTTTTTTCAAAAACTGTAAAACTTATAAAACCTATCTCCTCCCACAATTTTTGCTCAATTGACACCAAACTTGCTACAGAGCATCTTCAGACCGTCCTCCACAAAACTTGTTTCTTGGATTTTTGATTTATCAAAAATTAAGCCTACAGTGCATCAAAATGTTTGACTGTAAACAGTACTGTAAACATATACTATCAAATTCTTGCTAAATACATTTTCAATATTCCTGAAAAAAATTGAGAATATTTTGGAGTCATGGTTGATGAAGTTTGGCAAATATCAGAATTTTATCTCAAAAACTGAATTTTTGAGAATATTTTGAATTCTGCTCTCATGGGAACAACTGGAGTCAATGTAAGAGTGGCATTTTTAATCATCAGATTTTCTCTTATGAAACAAAACACTTAGAGTTAAAAACAAATCACCAACATTTCCATGCTGTCAAGATGCAATTTATGTATTATCAGATTTTTGTTCAGGTAACAGAATTTCTGACATTTTGACCATTTTTGAAATCTGCCTTGACAACAGCTGCCCGGACAGTGACTCCCTGAATCAACAAATGAAGCTACACAGCAGGTTTCACTTCCAGCCAATTAGCTCATGGTTAGGAGCTGGTGCTTGGTGTCAGGGGTTGTGGGTTCGAGACCCAGCAAGGATGATGACGATGATGACAGATCAAAATGTCAGATGTCCTCAACATGAAACACAAGACAATTGTCCTGATGGTGGCATCACAGCAAGCCTCTAAATTAAATAAAAACAAATAGCTTGGACAGGACCATGGGAGAAAGCTAACCAAATTTTGCACAAAGGTCCAGTCTCATGCCAAATTACCTCAGCTGTAAACTCAAGACAATAGTCCTGAAGGTGGCGCTACAGCAAGCATCTAAAATTCAAAACATTGAAAATTCATAACAAATCAACCTGCTAGAACTTCACACTTTCATCAAACTGTAGCCCCAATACTAAAGAAACTTTTGTACATTTAAACCTATTAAAAATTATGAAGTCCATCACTCTGTTTTTTTTTAAACTGTAAAACTTATAAAAACCTATCTCCTCCCACAATTTTTGCCTACAGTGCATGAAAATGTTTGACTGTGAACACTACTGTAAACATATACCTGCAAATTGAAAAATAAATCTTCAATGTTCATGAAAAAATTGAACATTTTTTAGAGTCATGGTAGATGATGTTTGACAAATATCAGAATTTTACCTAAAAAACTGAATTTTTGAGAACATTTTGAATTCTGCTCACATGTGAATAATTGCAGTCAATGCAAGAAGCATTTTTAAACATCAGTTATTCACTTATGGAGCAAATCAATCATTGTTAAAAAAAATTACCAACATCTCCATGCTGTCTAGATGCAATATGTGTATTTTCAGATTTTTTTCCTAATAACTGAATTTTTTATTACTTTGTGTTTGTTTTGTGGAGATGTAATTCCAGTCCAAACATAGGCGGCGGTAATGTGCTTTAATGCTGATTGACACCCTCCATTTAAACTGAAGAAGGAGAATCACTTCAAGCTGATCCAGCTGAGAGTAGGAGACAGAGAAACCACAAAGAGAAAAAAAAATATATAAAATCACAGCAAAACAAAGATTAAATCAAGAGAGCAGTATTTCAAACTGGTAAGGATCAGAATTGTCTGTTGGCTGGTAACAATAACCTCATATTTAAAGGAAAATTGTTATTTATAATTCAACATGTTTAAAGTCCAGGTAATGTTTTGAAATATTAAAAATAACTTAAAATGACCACAAATGCAAACACTTAATGAGACAGAGCAAATTCCTTTCAAGCCCCTTTGATTGATTCAGAACAGAGTGTGTTTTTCCACCTCAAACTAAAGCAGAGCAGAGAGTACCTAATTAGAGTGATAACACCTGTGCAACACACAGTGCCTGTATCATTTTCCCTCCTCTGAGGGTAAAATGAGTAGGCTCCATGCAATATGTTCTTAGTTTTAAATGAAATATTAACAAATTAAATAGGTTTGCGAAACATGCAAACTGTCTCTTGAAATGGTTTATGTGCCTCGCTCTCTGTGTATTTAGCTTTCTAAA